GACAATATTTATGAATGTAGGCATGTATGTATGTATATCTTTATATATGTATGGGTATGTGTATATTTTTATATCTGCCCTCCATGTATTTGTCCATTAATTTTTCAGGTGAGCGGACAGATGTTMGGTGTGTGGTCCTGTGTTTTGTTAGTGTATATTTAATATAATTATAATCGCTATTTCGGTCTTTCTATCTTTCTGATTACTTCTCTTTCTGTTTTTCTTTCTGTCTCTATAAAAAAAGGGGAAAAAAGATTCAGTTTTTTAATCCAAATATACACTTGTTTAATTTTGCCCCTCTTCAGTCTTTTATTTTGTTTGTACTTGTGTATTTTATTTTCTGCCTTGTGTTTTGTTTTGATCTCCAGACTGTGCCTGGAGGCGAGGGACCCCTACTGCGGCTGGGACTTTAAGCAGCGGAGATGCACCACGCTGGAGGACAGCTCCAACATGAGCCAGTGGAAACAGAACATCTCCGTTTGTCCGGTGAGAATGACATCACTGCTGTGTTTACTGTAAAAAGACAAACAGAGCTGTAGGGTACCAGCCAATAAGCTTTCCTGGTTCTGGTTGAATCTCAGCAGACAGTATTCCTCTGTTCTCGTCAGGATTTACCTGCACGCTTCTGTCTTTAAACAGTTACAGCTGGAAAGTATGACTGCTTCTGTTGTCACGTTGTCTTCATATGTGTAACAGATGTCTGAAATCGAGTCTTCCTACAAGTTTTCTTCTTGTCGTTTTAGTTCAAGTGGAAGTTGAAGCTTCATTTGTCACAAATCAAGAAAATCGTTTTTGTTCGTTTGTTTCTTCATTTGTTCTGAGTGAGTGAAATATTCGCCCTGCTGTAAATGTTTGCCACGCAGCTGAGGAACCAAACCATCAACGGAGTCTTTGGACCCTGGTCATTATGGCAGCCGTGCAACAATGACGACCCTCTGGACGGCGTGAGCTCCTGTTTGTGTCGCTCCAGGTCTTGTGACAGCCCCGCCCCTCAATGTGGAGGGAGAAGCTGTGAAGGCCACACTATTGAAGTGTCCAACTGCTCAAGGTAGGAAAAGATCATTTGTATTATTACATACAGTCATAGGCTGAAGGTCCCCACATACTCAGGCGTACTTCACTCCTCGGAGGTTCGCGCAGACTCGACGTAACCGTCCGCCAGACTGGTTCAAGTTTTTAAGTCTGCGTCTGTGGTGTCACAATGAACTGCCCGGTGAGTTCACGTCGAACTGTTTTAGATGCGACACCAAGCAGATAAAGTTGAGAATCGGTGTCATCTGTGGACAAAATGGAGTCAAAGATTGAAGAATGGAGGAGATTAGAAAACAGAAACTTTATGATGCATCAATGAAGGAATCCAAAGACTTTCAGTGAGCAACAAATTTGTGGGAGGAAATAGCTCAGCTCCTGGGTAAGGTAGTTCAATCAATCAATCAATCAATCAATCAATCAATCAATCAATCAATCAATCAATAACTTGATTTTTGGTAAATCTTTCACATTAAACATTAAAAAAAAACAGAAACTATAAACAAATTCATAATTTACCAAAAAAAAGAAATAGGCTGAAGCCAAGCTTATTCTTGCCCTATTTCATGTTCAACAACCAACCAAGATATCTTCACAATACATAAATAAATCTACACAACAGCGTAAGATGTTATCATTTTACATATCAGAGCTCTTTTAAAGCTCACCAAACTTCAGATCATCATTCTGTTCATTCCACAGTTTCACACCAACAACTGAAACACATCTGGACTTTACCTGATTCTTCTCTTTTACATTCAAATACAAATAAACCTCACAGATTATATTTATTCTCTCTTAACGTAAATAATTTCTGAATACCAGAAGGAAGACTTATGTTCAATGCTTTAGACATTATTTCCAGTATTTTTATATAAACAATATCTTTAATTTTTAATATATTACTTCCAATGAAGAGTTTATCAGTGGGTTCATGATATCTCACTTTATTAATAAACCTTA